GATGCAACACCTGTTATTCTATTCCCAGATGATCGTGTGTGTGTGTTGGACTCTGCAGCATTTTGCGGCTACCTGCACGCCGTTTGACCTTCCGTAGTCAGCAGGCAGAGCGAGACTGCAGAGAGGGAGAGGGAGGGGGAGGGTGGGAGAGGGAGGGGGAGAGAGAGAGAGAGAGAGAGTGTTAAAGTGGAGTAGTGGCCGAGGGAGTTGTTGCATTGTGATTCGTCTGCACCGTCCTCCCGACCTGTCCTCCACTTAACGGGACAAACAGCCTGAAGACTTGATCTTTCTTTTTGCCCTCTAACGGCTCTTTGTGAAATGTATTTTTGAATATATATATATTTTAATACCACTTCCCACTGGAACGATGGATTTGTCAGGCAACCCCCCAGGGGGCTCTGCACGTGCTCCCGGCGCGGGAAACCCGAGGACGGGGGAGGCTAGAGTGGGAGAGGGGATGATGAGGCCATCACCTTTCCGTATGCTTCGAGTGCTGGACTCGTGCCGTCCTCCAGGAAACCGTATCGGTGAGTCTGGTCTCCGCTCCGTCCTCCATTTAATCAGACCCACACTCTCATCTGTGGAGGTTTTTCAGGGGTTAATATGGATGATTCTGTAAGTCACGTCTTTGTGTAATAAAGCCTACATTGGTTTTAATCCCAGTGCATTAACAAACATGTGTCCTATGGTGCTATTAGATACAGAGACGTCACCTGTAGAGTCTCTAAATGTCTGTAATGGAACTAAACGTCTCTTTAAAGGACGTTTCCTCTAAATGAGTTTGTTCTCAGACTCTGATGATAAATCTCCACTTCAGCAGCTCTTACATTCACCAAACTTCACTCGTTCATTCCTCTCTGTGTGCTGAAGGTTCACACAGAGGGGTTTGTTCACTCATCACTCACACACTCATTTATACATTTATTAATACAAACATGGAGGAAATAGATTTATTTATGGCTGTTGACAGTATTTTGTGATTTATGACATGATACAAATGTATATCTATAAGTCCTTCTGTAAAAACCTTTGACTTTAATATCTCAACAACATGAAACATGAATTTTGAACCTGACTTCATCCAATGTTCAGATTTCTGTTCTGGAAATGTATGAAAATTAGCACATATTTGATAAGATAATTACTATTTGCATATTTAAACATAACATTTAAAAAAGAAATGTCTTCATCCGAGTTGTCAACTTTGGAGGTTTCATGTATATATTTTAGTATATTTCTTTTACCCCATTCATCTGCAGTGTCTCCCCTTAACTGGTAGAATAAGCTGAGCCCGCGGATTTGAACATCTTATTGATAATAATTTATTCATTTCTAAATATCATATGTGGCTGGTTTAAAGATGGCCCAGGGTGTGTGTGTGTG